TTCTGGCCAAGCTGAGCTGGTTGTCCGAATCCGCTGGCAGGCTGCGTAGGCTGAGCAGTCGCCGCCGGTTGACCGAAGGCGCTGGGCTGCGCATCGGTTTTCGCTCCAAAGGGGTTGGTTGTCGCCGGCTGCGCTTGAGATGGCTGACCGAAGGGACTGGAAGATGCAGTCTGAGCCGGTTGTCCGAATGCACTTGTTGTCGCAGGCTGTGCTGGCTGACCAAACGGACTTGGGTTCGTCTGGGCTGGAGCCCCGAAAGGGTTGGCATTCTGTGTCGTATTCTGCGCGGGCTGTCCAAAGGGGCTGGGACTGGCCGTGTTCTGCGAAGCCTGACCAAATGGACTGGATGTATTGTTGCTGCCGGCGCTGGCAAACGGGCTGACACCGCTCGTCGCGCCTCCAAAGGGGTTCGGCTTCTGCCCAAGAGCACTTGCTTGGCCAAAAGCGCTGCCACCTCCGCCAAGTTGAGATGGTTGGCCGAAGGCACTGCCCCCTGATGCCGCTGCTGGTTGTGCCGGCTGCCCGAACGCAGGCGCGCCGAAGGGATTGGGCTTCTGACCGAGGGCTGAGGCCTGGCCAAAGGCCGATGTGCCACCTCCCAAAGCGCTGGGTTGTCCAAAAGCGGATGTAGGTTGCGATGTTTGCCCAAAGGCTGGGGCGGAGCTACTCGTGGCACCAAACGCCGACGTAGGTTGTGATGGTTGACCGAATGCTGAAGTCGGTTGCGATGGCTGCGATGTTTGACCGAAAGCTGGCGCGCCAAAGGGATTCGCACGTTGCCCCAGGGTCGCAGTCTGGCCAAAGGCGCTCCCTGTTGAAGTTCCACCGCCGCCGCCAAAGGCAGAAGTAGTGTTCGTGTTGTTAGAGGAGAATGGGTTTGACGTCGCTGTGTTCGAATTTGACGAAAAAGGGTTCTGCTGTGAAGAAGCGCCGCCCCGTCTTCCAACCGCAAACTCCCCTGTAGTCCCGCCTGGCGATGTGCCTTGCTTGCAAATGTCTATCCTGTTGGGGTGCGTTTGCTCGGCAGAAATGATGAATTGAATAGCTCCGTCAAGGTTGCCCACCGCCGTCTTCATTTGTTGTTGGGCTTGCTGGTATAGCTCTTGTGCTTGATTGAGCTTTGGATTCCGTCAGCTGATGGGCCTGTAGACCTGAATAAGGTGACTTACCGCTTGCTGGGGATTTCCAGAAGCTTCCGCCATCATGTGAACGAGTCTCATTTCCTCAAAACTCTGCTCGCGCAAGTTGCCTCCGAAGAGCTGTTCCGGAGCGTCCCTGCCGGGGCCATAAGCGGACAAGATCCATTGTGGCGCTTCCGACGTCAGGTCTTTCTCAATGGTCTCCTTTGATAGCGCATATGGAAGCCCTGGTCGCATGTGAGTAGAATGCTTCGTTTGAAACTCCTAGGAGCCGCGATTGTTTGGGCGAACCATCATTGTTGTTGCCGCCTCGATTGAATCCTCCTCCTGTGTTTTGGCCAAAGGCTGCAAAACGGTTGTTATTTTGCGACCGTGGGTGCTCGAATCGGCAATTCTCTGCGATATCACGTATTAGCCTCTTCGATCCGAGTTTGCGATCGAGACCCCTCGGGATAATGATGGGTGCACAGCGAGTGACGTACGTCCGTACCTGCAGTTCCCCTGCTCGTAGAACTTGCAGACTACCATTCTGGTTGTTGATCGGGCGGTTTCGCAATGCAAATGGCGTGGTGACAGCGGCTATGTCATTTCGTACGTGTTAAGAGCTGAGATTAGCCAGGGATTCGACGGTGGACAAAGAATCAAGCTCTTGTAATCTCCAGAGCTCGTAGACTGGGTGTCGAGAAAGAAATCATTGGCAGCCTTTCTCAGCCTTGCCGGCGCGTGCCCCTAGCGCGCCGTGGTAAGCCAATGGGAAATACGTACTGTGCGTAAGCAGTGGACAAAGCGCAAGCACTGTCCTTGCCTCCTCTGGTCCAGGCAGGTACACTTACACCACGAACATTCAATATCAGTTCTTGATTTCCTCAAGAAGCATTCGAATTCATCTATTTGGTCGAATCAAGATGACTCGGAGTTTTTTAATCGGCTTTCATCATCAACAAAATCTTCCCGGCCTTTGAATTTCACCTTTATGTCCCACCGAAAATCGATTCTACCAATCCTAGGAATTGAGAGCCAAGCATGTTACCTCGCTTTCGCAAGGACAGCGTTATTCTAATTCGTCGACGCCACAATCTTGTCCATACGAATCACATATTCAAAAGCAAATCAAGAATCGAGATCATTGTTTCATTACTCCAAATCGGTCATAGCTACTCCGTGGAATCCATCTATCCAATAACACCAGCAACCATGGGCTTCAGCTGCTGCTCAACATAGTTGGGGTTTCTCCACTCAGACCAGTCCGCGTTCAACAGACCCCACGACTCCTCAAAGTTCTGCGTTCCCTGGCGGATGTAGTAGCTACCCACCAGAACCCAGATGAAGAAGCTGCCCTGGATCTGGGGCAAGTAGGATGCCAGGCACGTCGAGTACGTGTTGAGGTATGTGTTGTCGTTCATGTTGAAGCCAAACTCGGTCAGCGCCACGGGGAAGACATTGACCGTCACAGGGTCCGATGCATTCATGGCCTGGAAGCCCTTGGTGTACAGGTTGTTGCTCAAGCTCGCGCAGCTGCCGATGGAGCCCTCGTAGTTGTGGATCTCGAGAACGAGCTTGTCGGCGTAGCCCTGGAAGTCAGAGAGCTGGAACGTGCCGTTACCGGGTGTAAGTGCAGTACCGCGGAAGACGGGTGCGACGGTAGTGTCGTAGTTGAGGCCAGAGAGGAAGATGAGAAGGCCAGGGTTGGCGCCGTTGATGGCGTTGGTGCCCTCCTGGATGTACTTGTACCAATCCTGCCAGTTGTACGAAGCAGCAACCAGCTCGGCGTTATCCGTGGCCTCGCGAAGCTCGTTGCGGAGAGACATGGCGACGAGAGCAGTCCACGATTTTCCCTGGCGATGGTTATCAGCTTGGGTTCAACAATATTCTGCCTTCTTTCGATTCACTTACATGGTTGGCCATGTAGGTCAGGCCGCGCACCCATTTGGCGGCATCGAACTCGCGGTCTCCCCACCAAGTGTTGCCGTCGTTTCCAGAGCAGCACCACTTGCCGGTGGACATGTGGTTATCGAGGAGGATGTAGACTTCCTGCTTAGCGCATTCGGCAGCAATGGCATCGTACACCTTTGGGGTTATGTGTCAGCGGGTGTCAAACGTCGCGGCAGAGCTGATAACTTACCTCGAGACGAGTGGTCGCCTCCGTGAAGGAAGGGTTGTTGGCCAGGACCTGAGCGAGGACGGCGGTGCCGTTGGTCTCACCGAGGCCGTTGATGAAAGCCGTCTTGATGTCAATGTCCTTGCCATCGTTGGCGTAGATCTGGTCGACGAGCTCAATGGCGTAGGTCAGACGGATGGCGTTCATGCCGATGCTCTTGATCTTAGACACAACACCCTCGACGGAGAGGAACTGCAGACCCTCTGGGACCATGACCTCGCCGTGGCCGGGCCAGTTGGTGCCGGCGAACTGGATGTGGTTGCCAGCGGCATCCACCGCCCAGCGACCGTTCGTCACAAGCGGGCCATTGGGCCAGCTGGTCTGTCTGGCCTGGGGAAGAGCGGCGCAAAGAGGCGCGACGGAGCCGGCGATGGCCAGAAGGGAGGTGAAGAACTTCATGATGTCGGGCAGTTTTGACTGAGAAACCGACGCGTCCGAGATGGGAGCTATCACTACAGAGAAGGTCGCAATGGCATCATCTTGCGGGAACCATTGGGATCTTATACGACCTCAAAATTTCACAGAGCATGCATCTCGGAAGCATTCCCGCTCCAATCGAGCACTCGCCGTTGCTACCTCATCCCACGGACCGAGAGCGGGACCTGCAGCCAGACCAGGAACGCGACACTGACATCACGAGCATTGGCGGCAGTAGCTTAGCCTTGGGAGGGTGCAACGTTCCTTGAATCAACGGTCGCCATTGTCATGACTAGTCTTCGACCGCCTCCCTCAGGCCGCAGCGGGGCATCTCTCGGGTGCTCCCTCAGGTCATGATACCAAGTTGCCAGGGTAGCGACGAACCTCGGGGGCGGCTTTCGCCCGAGAAGACGAGCACAGCCGGGGCAGACATACTCTTGGGAATGGAAGCCAAGGGTCCAAGATTTACCATTGAGTGGACGCTAGAGAGTCAGGCGATGATTGTCGCCAGGAACAGCAAGCTTGTGCCGAACGGTGTGAGATCGGCTCCCGCCTTCTTCGAGACAAGCTGAAGCCTGGACAGATTCTTGCGTCCCGCCCCCGCATCGCTTGTCGAATATGCCGATGGGGAAAACGACGGATCCCGGCTCCCCAGCTCTGATGCCTTTAGTGCTGGTGTTCCCCACACTCCGAACCCCTCTCTTCATCGAACCGCTCAACGGCCCAAGCATCCCCAAATCGGCCGGTTCTGCGCCATCACAAGATACTAGTTTGGATGGTTGATGTTGCATGGGAGTGGAGCAGAGAACTTTCACCGTACCCCGGCTCCGTGATCCCCGGAAGCCGAACGAAACAAAGTCTGAAAAGATACGAAAGAAAACAGACAATAGCGGAGACGACGTGCCTGACAGGGAAATGCCCGCTGCCGATCAAGAGCCGGACCACAAAGACTAAATGTGGCAGTTGGGGAAACAGGCAAGCGGGGAGAGCTTTCGAACGATCTGAATGGCGCGCAAGTTCGGACGGACGAGTTCTCGCGAGGAACTCTCACCAGCATTTGGCTCCACCGCGATACCTTGGAACGAGGAGGTGGGTTCTCTGCCATTATTGGTTCTCATCATGCACGAGAATCAATTGACACGTGCTACTAGATTCTCTCGACGCTCGATGACGACAACTTCACAAACTAGCAGCTTCAAAGGTGTAGCAGTGGGGGTTGTCCGACCCCAGCTTCAACCAAGCCATCCTCGGTAGAATCAACAATGTCGACCTCTCCGGCCTCGCTCTCACGCCCTCGCCCTGAACTCCAACAACGGTCCATCCTTCATACTCGTAAATGTGTCGTATAACTGCATCTCCGAGACCCGCCTCCGGCCCTCATCCAAATCTGCGCGTCCCTCAGCCGGGTCAAGTACGCCCACCGCCTTGCGCACGTCGTACAAGAACAACGTCCTCGCCAATGCGGTCGACATCTCAGCATACGCGAGCCCCTTGCCAATACATCCTCTGGCTCCAATCGAGAACGGACAAAACGCGCTCTGCGCCCTCGCCGTGTCGGCCTCGGTCGTCTCTCTGCCCCCAAACAACGGGTTTGCCGCGCCGACAATCCATCGCTCGGGAACGTAGTCGTACGCTGAGGGGAAGTAGTCCTCGTTGTGGTGGATCGTGTAGTGCGGTGTGCCAACGACGGTTCCGGCGGGAATATGCGCGCCGTCAATGGTCATGCCGCCTGCGAGAACCTCACGCGGGAGCAGGCCACCGACGGAGGGGGACAGGCGCATCGCTTCGTCTATGCAAGCGCGGAGGTAGGTGCATGTGTTGATTGTCGCGCCTTGACGGATTTCCTCGACTTCGGAGAACTTGCTGCGAATCTCGGCTGTTGCGCGCTGGAGCGCCGCAGGGTTGCGGGAAAGGTAGAAGAGGGTCGCTGCCATGGCTGTTGACGTGGTGTCGGCGCCGGCGATGATGCTGATTTGTGCGTCAGTCTTGGCTCACATCTCTGTGCCTCGAAATTGGCTAGGAGTAGTATGAACTTACAGCAGGTTCGACTCGCCCCAGAGCTCTGGCGTCGAGAAGCCCAGTCCAGTCTCCGGGTCACGCGCCTTGAGGAGGTAGTAGAAGAAGTCGCGTCGATCGGTATCTTCGCCAAGCTTCGTCCGCTCCGTCAGCTGCGCCTTGCTGTAGGCCATATACCGCGCGCGTCCAGCCGCAATGGTCGGGAAGAGGAGCTTGTCGAGCTTGAGCTTGTCGACGATGGGCATGGTACCGCACTGTCGTCCGTCAGTTCATGTTCCTCTCGAACCACTCCGTCGACAACGTCTACTCACAAGAAGATGCCTCTTGGTCGCCGCAGCGATCAAGTCCAACGCAAACCGGTTATCCGGCGCCTCGAGCATATGAAACGCTTTTCCAAACGACAAGTCTCCCAAGATATCCATGGCGAGGTAATTACACCAGTCCGTCATATTCTTGGGCGTCGACCACCCCTTTGTCTCGGCGGACGCGCCGCGACCGATCTCGGCGGTGAAGGAGCGCACGTTGCCGATGATGTAGCGCTCCATCTCCTTCATGGCCGAGTCGGAGAAGCCGTGGGCGAGGACGCGGCGCTTACGGGCGTGGACGTCCTTGTCGCGGGCGTTGTGAGTGTTGGGCGCCGGGTGGACGAAGGCGTTGTAGAACTCTGCCTTGCCGACGTTGGAGCGGAAGCCGTAGATTTCCTTGAGAGCCGTGGCGGAGTTGAAGGAAACTGAGTTGGGCCCGAAGCGGACGATTTTGCCTTCGAGGGTGTCAGTGATGGCGTCTCCATGGCTCCTGTCTCTCTTCTTTCCGTCCTGCCAGCCTCTTCTGCTCACTCTGGCAATGCCTTCCCCCGGTTTTCAAAGGGTATGAAGGATGAATGGGGAGGGTGCTGAAGATGGGTAAGTGACGTACCGTATTGCTTGTGAAGCTTGTAGAAGTCGAGATGTCTATCGCCATTCCAGGCGTGATAGAGCTGGTACCCATCCGTGACCTTTGCGATGAACGGTCCTGGATACTTTGCCAGAGGATGGAAGAAGATGCGGTACACGACGATACCGGCGACCTATATCGTTGACTGTCAGATCGGGTCCATCCATTCTCTTGCCGACGCAGCTGGGGCTTCGTAGAGCCGCTTCTTGGCGTAAATGGTGACATTGATGAACTTACATAGAGCACGCCTCCCACGGCGGCGAGGCCTAGCCAGGCCCAGAGATGACTTGAGTCCATGTTCACTGTTTCCTTTCCTCTCGATTCAACGGTTTTGTGATGTCAAGCAGCAGCCGTTTGTCTCTCGGCGTTGTGAGTAACCTCCACACAGCAGTGAAAGACTCACGAAGCCGTGAATGTAGTTCGATATAGTAGTATGCCAAACACCAAGTTCGGTCCTTTTCCCGATGAAGTCTTTCCAGCTTTCTTTCTTTCTTCACAGCAATTTCACCTCACGTCTCATCCGTGTCTCCCGGCGAGAAGGAGGGGTGCACCTCTCTTCTTATCTGTCTTACACGGCTCCTAACCCTTTCCCGGCCTGCTACCCATCGGCTTTCCACGGTCCAAGACGGGAATGGATGACGGCGCTGGCGGGTGTGCGCTTTTACCCCACGCCGCAAGGACCGGGCGGGCCTCCATGGCCACGAAATTGGAGAAATGACAATAGGCGGGACGAGTACGAGGCACTGTGCCAGCGCCAAAATATCAGCTGTAACAAGTGACACAGTCCCCATGCGCAACACGTCTTACCTGCCCTAAGGTGTCTGGCATTGATCACTACCAATACCGGTACCTACTTAGGTGCGCCTGTAAGAAAAGAGGCGGACAAGGGCGCAGGTCCGTCTCATCACGCTTGCGCCCGCCCAACCTTCCTGCTTCGGGTGGCCTTCGAAAGCGGGAGTTGGAACGCTGCGGCTACTCGCGGGGATGCACAGAGAGAAAGGGAGGTTGAGGACAGACGGACTTGGATCTCGTTGGTGACGCCGCAATCCCTGCTTATCCCAGACTTTGCGTTCCCATTTCTCTTCTCGGCTCGTTCAGCCCGTAGATAGCCATCCTGCCATGGGTTCCTTACGCAGTTGGTCCACACTACCCCAAGATCTCGCATCTGCTATTTACCCACCCGGCAAGCTTCCCCCGCCCCAATCCACGCCCGCCAAAAGCCACACGAATGCAATATATGTGGATGGCATGGCGCTCCCCCCGGCAGCAAGGTTTCGCAAGTGCGCACGTGAGCCAACCGGAGACGAGGCGATTACACATTCCCATGCGCGGTGAGTAAGGGTCACCCTCATTGCTCAGAGTGCCTCTTGGCCTTTTCTTGTCTCTTTGCCGAGCTCTAGTACTCTTTCCCGACATTCGAAACCTTGTCTTACACCATTCCCGAACATCCTCTTTCCCGACGGGTTTCTTCTTTCCCGAGGATTTGGAGAAATTGGAGACGCTGGACGAATCATTGGTGAGAGAATCGCATCGGGCTCGGCTTTTGGCGGCCGTCGCCGTTGCGGGTCCTGCGGAGAAGATGGGGAGGAAGGTGAACTTGGATGGCGGGGGAGGAATTCCGCTCCAGGTCCGCGGTTTACTCGTTTGGCAACGGCTTGAGGGCTTGGAGGATTTGACTCGTTGTGGGCTCGTTTTTGAAGAGGTGTGGGGGTTTGGAGTGTTATTGACTGACAAGACAATAGTGATGGAGATACACAGATAGACACACATACATACAGTAAGTCCTGGGCTTCTCACCCAACTTGGGTAGCAATGCAATACGTTTAGATAAGGCACCCCGTACTTCCACGGCTCTGGACACATCACAACAGGGTGAGAGGTATATTGGTATTTGACACAATCCGTAAGAAGCATGGTGATGACGGCATCTAGGTCGTGGTCTCGGCGTGGAAGCTTGCCGTTTTCCTGTTCGACGTTTAATTTCAATACACAGTCCATACCAAAGCTACGTCTCTCTCCACCGACTGCCTCCTTTTGGAACACATTCCAGATGTAGTATACCAAGAACAGGTGGAAGTAGGTAGAAGTGTTTCTGGCTCATGCGGAAGATCCCCGCTTAATACATCAACTTGGGTGTTTCTCAAGTATCTCAACTACCTACATACTCTATCACCAGCCTTGCTATGATGTCTTTAGTGGCGTCGTTCTTCTTTGAGAGATAGCGGATTCCTGATCATACCGGCGGCAAGACGGAGGATTATTTAACGACCTGCTTACTCGTGTAACGGGCAACAGGAATAAGGGCGCCCGCAGTCCAAGGTCCTTTTCTATCACCACGGCAAACTTCCGTCGAGGCCGCACTCCTGGGAATCCAAACACCCACAACTTTCTAGATACCGAATGGAGATAATTAACTCGGTACGAAATTAATCTGAGCCGGCCCATCTTCCCGGAGCATCAAATGTGTGCACGAACTGAGAATGGTCCGTATTAGAGGCCAAGACCTATCGTAGCGGACAAATTATTCTTACTCAAAGAGCGACAAAACCTATTGAGCCCCTGAGCAGGCAGATTCGCGATGGCGTGTTGACCTCATATAAAACGAACCAAAATACAGAAGATGCATCTCGTGAGGCAAGCGTTTGGTTTGGGTAAATAGTTAGATAGGCTCATGATAATTGCCGTGTGTGTTCCCTAGATCCAAAAGTGTGGTGCCAAGATATCTTACACATTGATACCTTGGGTAAAAGGTGTGTATGTGCGTGTGTACAAAGTCACTACTCTTCACCCTTAGCGGAGTGGTCTCGAAGGAATACGTCAACAGCGACGCCTAAAAGACAAACAGGCCGGCATTAAGGCCTAAGAAAGGTTGAAAGAAGCGGTATTGAGATAGGAAGAAAACAATGTGAACGGCGCTGACCGAGACGTAGGCTTGGTGGACGAGCTCGAGAAGAATCATGGTCCAGCCAACAACAGCGGTGCGGAGGAATGGCATGATGGAAAGGCAGTGGCGGGTGTACATAGTAGAAACGTCCCCCGGCAGCAACTCTCAAGCCAAACACGCAAACACCCAGGTGCTCATTGAACACGCTCTCGCATTGTATTAAGTATATACGCCCCCAACCTCCGCCATCAACATAAGAAAACATTCAACATTACAACCCTTCATCCAATCCCAGTCCCCCATAAACTTCGTTCTCGTTTCCATAAATCAATGATTATAGTACCTCGGCTCGTTAAAGACGTGGTACCGGTGATCCCGCACGCCCTGACCGCGGAACATGGCCGGGAACCGCCAGCCCTGCGGCACCTCCTCCTCCGTGACGCGCTTATTCCGCGTGTTGTCGTCCACCGCCTCGATCTGCAGCGCCTCGTCCTTGGACTGCGGGATGACGAACTTGGCCACCTGCAGCTCCGTGTCGGTGATGGTGCTGCGGCTGACGCGCGCGTAGCCCGTGCGCTTGAGGCCCTTGTAGAGGATGTACTCGCACCAGCGGTCCCAGTCGGTCGGGTCGACGTCGTGCATGCCGGATGTGCTGCTGACGTAGGTGTTGTAGTTGCCTTGCAGGGGCTTGGTGACGAGGTAGGATAGCAGGACGGAGGGGTTCTTTGATTCGCCCATGAGCTTGGAGAGGTATTCGGTCTGCAGGCGGCGGTCTTCGGGATCCTCTTCCTGTCCGGAGTGGAACACGAAGACGTCGACTTCTTGGCCGTAGACGTCGAGGGTGGCGGCGATGGCGGGTGCGAGCTCGCCCACGGGACTGGGGAGCAGGTGGTGCGTCGACTTGAGAATCGGGAACTTGGAGAGCAGCGCGGAGCCCCAGGTGTGCTTGTTGGGGCCTGGGCCGTAGTCGACGTACATTCCGAGGTCCTCGGCAAGGAACTGCGTGGTGTCGCGGTTGCCCATGATGATGCGCTGCAGGTCGGACTCGAGGAGACCCACCACGTCCAGCTCGAGTTCCTTGATGAGGTCGCGCATGCGGTACTCGGAAGACCACATGTCGTTGTCGAGGGAGAAGTGGATGGTCCAGATACCGGCCGTCATAATGCGATCTTCAGGGTGGTAGGGCTTGTAGTCGTTGGTAGGGAAGCGCATGAAGGCTGCGGCCAGGAAGACGATGTTGATGAAGGCTGCTGCAATTGTGTTGTACTTCTTGTGCTGTGACGGGGATGCGCGGCGGGTATCGCGGCGGCGGGCCTGCGAGGAGGTGAGGTCGAAGACACCGGCGCCGATGAGGATAAATGTGGTCATCATGACCCAATCAGTGTGCTCACGAACAAGGGGGCCACCAGGAACAAATGCGTAGGCGACGACCCAGACGTGGAACAGCACCATAAAGTTGTAGATGAAGAACCCGAGACCAAATGTCGTACCAGGGCTTCTCTTGGCGGCGGTCGAAAGGAATGGCACAGACAGACCCATCAGGTAGAAGGCCGTGGTGAGAGCACCATAGTAACCGAACCAGTGGTGGTATGAGGTCAAGACAGCCGCACCAACGCAGCCAACGCCGTAGGCTGTCCACGAGCTCATCAGAGAAGGGCGGTAGAGGCCAACCAAGAGACCAGCAGTCATTGCGACAATAGTCATCCAGCCATAGGTGTTGGCAGTAGGGCCCCGGATCGGATAACCATCCCAGACCCAGAGGATCATGGTGCTGGTATCGGAGAGGAGGGAGTGAATACCGAAGAACAGACCGCCAACGCCAAAAGCAGCGAGGACCGAGGAACCGCCCTTCTTGGAGTCTTCCGGGATATCGCCACTAGTCAGGGGCGCTCTCCGAGTGAACCGCAGAGCAGCTACAACAGCAATGGCGAAGCCTGTCGCGTTCCAGCCTCCGTTGGCGGCGTGCATAACAGGCCATAGCGGGTTGTTGGTCCACCATATGAACTTGGCCGTAGATGAGGCGACAAGGCCAAGAGTCCAAGCCATGATTCTGGATTCGAGACGGCTCTGATGTGCTCTCTCGGACCAGAACGAAGCAGTCCAGCCAAGGCAAGACGTGGCCACGGCGAAGCCAACGGTGAAGAGACGGTAGGCAGGGTCAAGAACCTGGTACGCCAGCAGTCCGACCAGTGAGATGAGGTGGACAGCGCGCTGATTATTGACGACGAGGGAGCGAACACTGCGAATGCCCAAGATTGCGGGCAAGATGGTTGACATAACAAAGGCCTCGTAGCCAGAGATGCCCATGTGCCAAAGGGGGAAGTACCACACCAAAACTCCCAAGCTGGTCAACATGGACCAAAAGATGAAGCCGTGGTAGACATCGGCGGCGGTGTCGAGTGCCTCGGTCCAG